AGGGAAGAGACCCGGGCGGGAAGGAAACGATTCTCCGTTGGCTGGGGACCCGGGGAACCGTTCTCGCGTCTCCTCGAACGGCCGCCATTGCCTCCGGAAGCAATTGATTGCGAGCGCCGCTAATTAGTTTACCATGCCCGATAAAGGCTGCCTCTTTGCCTCGGCTACTAAATAGGAACGCACGCTCGATTCGTGTCCCTCCGTCGCTCCTCATCCCCCCTCGCGGTCCAACGTTTCCCGACCTCTCCCGCGCGTCTGCTGGGCTAAGGCAGGATACGTCGTTTCCGGAAACGCGATCAAGATTACGCACGAACCGTACGCCGCAACCTTCTTCCTTTTACGCTCGAGATTGCGTTCCTCCGCTCGTGGATCGGCCTCGAAAACACGCCGCGGAAAAAGAGCAACGTTCCCCACGACGAAATTTGGATTAACGGTGCAAAAAACATAAATAACATTCCATCGAATTCACGCGTCGCTCCGTTTAATTTCGCCGTCCCGTGCCACGCTAAATTTACCCTTGAACCGCTTAATTATTCCAGCATCATCCTCCGCGGTACCACTTGAACTACTTTGCCCATCTACTGAACCGCGTTACACTACGCGATCTACTTTCACAATTGACGTTGGTCGATCGCGTCAAGAAAAACTTTGGTCGCTTTGGTCGAGCTTTTATGCTTTTATGCTTTCGACGTATATAAAAATATATTTAGAACACGTTCTTTAGTTTCTAGGGACTCTGGTGAAACTTCTAACCTTTTGATTCTAATGATTACTAGATAATATCACTAGCGTAAGATTCTGCGAATACTCTTAATGTCGCCGCGCTAACTTAGGCCGCGTTCTCGAAGGTGACAGAAGTGGGAGGTTCTCACCCTTTTGTTTCAGAGGAGACGAGACCCAGACACGATCTAGACACCGAACCAGTAGCATCTAAATACATTTATTATCGTTAACCTGTGCTTGAAAGAGTACATTTTTAAATTGTTTCGACCAGACGGGTCTAGCGAAACAGCGATAGTTTTGTGCCTCCTACGGTGGAAGGCTGAAAGGTTCGAAGGTGACCCGGTGACTGGAGGATTCTACGACACCGAAGGAAAGAGTTGCGCTCTGTAATATCGCGCTGCCCGAGGGCCAGCAGCGGTGGACGTCGAGGGGCACCGGTTTTTGGTTATCGTGGCCAGGCAATATTTCGGTAGAGGGATGCTTCTTGTCGGCGCGCATGATTTAAAAGCGGACCACCTTGCTAAATTCTCCATCTCCGGGACCACCAATGGAGCCCTTTTCGGGGAGGACTAAGTCACCGTGAGAGCGGTAATCGGGGATAACGAGCCAGGGGAACAGGGGGCCAGAGGCGCGCGCGGTTAGAATCCTCTCAGGGCTCTCGTTCCGACCAATTACCTCTCTCCTCGACTCCTACCCTAAATACCTATTGCCTCTCTTCTTCGGAGGTCGATATCCGACCGACACTGGCCCGATCGGACCGTCGAACCCCTGGGAATCGCTCTGCGTTTTCGACTTTTCGTCTACCTGACGAACATTCTTCGCGGTAACAACATCCTCTTCACGCGAACTCGCTTTCGTTCCACCCTAATTGTCGATCTCGAACCACATTTCGACATTAACATTCTTTTATAAACATTCTCTAAATTTCTACATAGATCGACGCTTCAATTTTATTTTATATTCGATCGGGAAATACCACTGTGCTCACGGTAACTGGGTGCAACCTAAATCATACGATCAACGTTTCGACAAATTTATTCGTCGCATTAAAATAAAAAACCGGAATGCAACCACGAGAACACTACGTGGAAGCAGGTTGAAAGGAAGAGGTTCGGTTAATAAGGATGTTTTACAACCTAACCCAACTCAATCCTTAACTTATAATCTAACTTAAACATCAGATAAACGAAAGAATGCTATTGTATACAAAGATGAGACGAATGATGAAGCGATAGAATATCATGGGAAATGGGAAAGAATAAAACAACGAACCGCATATTTAAGAGAAGTGGAGGAATCTGTGGAACGTGTATCGAGTGGGAAAGAGTTAACCCTCGAATACAACATAGGGGTCTACTAGATTCCTGTCTATCTTCTCGTGGTTACGTCTTTCATAAATAATGACATTCGAGTTCCTTCGCTAGGGAGAATGTTTATGGTGTCAATATTATGGCACGATATCTCCTATCCAATTAATAAAATTTATTGGTTAATAACTTACGAGACATTAGATTTCTTCTCGCCTTCTTGAAAGCTAAAGTATAGGATGATTGTTTTTCTTATTTAGTCCTCTAGAATCCATTGACAAATTTTAGCTATTAAACACTGGGACATCCTGTATTCGTTACACAGTATAATTCCTCTCGCATAGACCCTCAGTTAGGGTTCGAATGGGGACAATTTGGATAGAGCAGACATTATTTCACGAGCCTCGTGACTCGCCTTTGACGTTGCCGAAATTTTTTATATTTGTGAACAATGTCAACCGACCCAGAAACGAAAATCCAGACCAAATAAAAAATGATGCGTCTGTCCATTTGACTGTCAACTCGTAGCCGTCGATCAGCCGCGAATAACAAGGAAAAAAATGCCAGCGAGAGAACAGTTCGCGGTGAAGGGTATTCGTTCGTGTTGTCGAAAAAAGGAACGTGAAAAAAAAACAGAGCTCGTCTTAACGGATCCATAAATCATCCGTAAGTGCCGACGGTCGGAGGACTCGACGACTTCATAGATCGACGAAAATCGTTAAACCCGCAAACGAGGGTCGCACAGATGAACGGGCAGATAGTCAAGACTCGCGCTAATGACTGGCTTCCGCGACCCTCGCAAAATTTACAGCCTGTCCATCGCTCGAGCTTGTGCCCCAGACTGAGCGGCGAGTACAGTATTACCTAATACGTTGGTTCCTAACCTGACCTCCCAACGGGGTCGTTAAAGATCTTCCGAACGATTATTTTTACAGGAAACTTGATCGCAAAAATTTGTATAGAAAACTGGATAGCGCGGGACCTGAAGATGACAATTCCAAAAATTTGTATGGAAAAAAGATGGATAATATCGGTCTTTAAATGTGTTCCATCGGTTTTTGAGAGGGTTATAATCTTCTTAGACGCGATCCAGTTGTCTCCAAGCGAAAAGACCCAAGGTGTCGATTCGTCGAAAATAGTATCGCGATAGTTCGCGTTTCGTGGATTTGACCGCAAGATCGTCCGGGAACGTCTGTTCAACGTTTTCGAATCGTTTATTTTGCTAATTCAAACAAATTTCGCGGTCCATCCCATAAGGTTTACGGCGCGCGCCTGGAACGTTTCCCTCGCGATCGGCGTGGTTTCTCTCCGACGAACCTTAGATTCGATTAAATCGAATTTATTTAACGGACAATAAAACTCTGTAACACGAAGCGAAAAGAAAAAAAATAAATTATTAAGAAGCAGCATCGACGAGAACGATCCTTGTGTATATTCTATCTACTATCGATTTTATAAACATATCGAAGCTTTCGTAAGAAATTCTATCATAGTTCGTTTTTTGCAGTTTTCCAAAATGTTCGATTTCGTTTCAATAAAAACCGTGTAAGTTAAGTGGTCCTCGTTCTATAACATTCAATTTTATTTTCACTTCTGGAATTATACGAGTCTGAATTAGGAGCTTATTATAACAAAATAATAGTGTTCTCACAACCAGACAACAACTTTACAAAAAATATTTGCTATTTATCGGGACTTTTAAGAACAAAAAATCTGTCAATCTTATGGTTCATGTAATTGACCCAAGATATAATGTTTATAAACCTTATTCGTAATTGGCACTTTACCCTAATCATCGGCTAGTATGACAGCTGTGTTCTCTATAACACGCGATGCGATAAATCGATCGTTTCCAAAAGGAGGAATTGTCGTGTCCTAATCAGAAAGCCACAGAAACGTTATGGAACGTTCCGTTCCCGCGCTTCCGCAGCTTCTCTCCACTCGCGTCCACTGGAAAAGTTTTTCTCCCGTCGCACGCAACAACCGCCTCGGGAGCTCTCCTCTTTCTCCCACTATACAGTTTGCCCTCTCCCTTCCTCCTGGCCGTTAGTCGCCGATTTTCATTTCTCGCAAATCTCAGTTTCGAAACGCCATACGTTCGAACACAGCGTTGCGATGTCGGCAAGAAATCTACAATGAAATTACGTAAAACATCATCTAACTAAAACGTTTCCTGAAATCATCGCGCGTCGATTAACCCTGGACCAAACTTTCCCCGATCGAGTTCACGTTCGATCGATAAGTAAACGTGGTCGAGAAGGATCAATAACGATAATCGAATTAGTCCCGTCGCGAACGCAACGTACAGGAGAGCAAACGATCGTTTCTCCCTCTACAGTCCGATCTCTCCCTTCCTCCTAGATTTTCTCTCGCCGCAATTCTCATTCTCTTCGTTCCGTTCGTAGTTTGCTTCGACCGTAAAATCGAATCCCTGGCGATTACTCGGCGAGTATCCATCGCGAAGTTACGTAAATCATTCCGAAACTAAAATGCTTCTCGTAAGCATCGTTCGTCGATTATTCAGGGTACAAGCTTTCCCCGATCGAGTTTACGTACGATCGATAAGTAAACGTGGCCGAGAAGGTTGGAAAACGATAATCGAATTAGTCCGGTCGCAAAAGTAACGTACGGGAGCGCGACCGAGTCGTTTCTCCCTCTCTTCTTCGAAAACCTCGCAGTTTCTCCACGCCGCCGTTCTCTTCTCCGGTTCCGAGTGGACCTGGTCTCTATCGGCGACCACCTCCTCCTCCTCCTCTTGCTTCGTCTCCTGGTCGTCCACCAGGCTTCTCCAGCTTCTCTGGCTGCTCCACCGCCGCCACCTCCGCCGTCTCGACGACCATCTCCGTCGTAGCCACCACTCTCTCGACTCCAGCCGCCTCCTCGCCCCGCGGTGCCCCCGGCCCCCCTCTATCGGCACGGGGAACCTCGTTAGGCTCCGGCACGGTGGTGGAAGTCGCAACGGAACTTCAGTGCAGCTGCGGCGAGCAGCTGACGCGGAATCGTTTGCTAGTTGCTGCTCGAGGCTCGCGTGTCGCGAACGCAGCGGGTCGATTTTCAACGCGAGCAACGTTACCGCGCGCGCGGTTCAACGCGACGACGTTTACGCGAGCGTGCGCGTGCGCGAGTGCACGTTGCCTGCCGAGAGACACGAGAGAAGCTGCCGCAACACCGAGGGTGGCTGCGCAACAACACAACAGGCGGACGCGTACGGTGCACGCGTCTCGAGACGGACATTTTTCTCACTCGTCAAATGAACGGAGCCCCGATCGACCGCGGCCAAGAGAAAGCAGCAGCCTCGTCGACGTGTCGACGCCGAGTGTCGCGGGACCGTGGCGATTTTTCGAGCGAACGGTCGTCGGCCACGAGTTGCTCCGACGGTGGTTGAGCTCGTGCATACCCGATACCGCCATCGCTGTCAACATCTTCCGATCCTCCCTCGAGGACGGCCAACATTCGACACAGGTGAGTGCCAAGGATTCTACTTCGTTTCAACGACGGTTGACGAAAAGAGCCGTGAGACTTGTATTTTTATAGAAACAACGTTATGGGAATTCTATTTCGCCCTCTAGGTATAGCGTATCGTCGAATATCGCGTGCTCGTAGTGGCGCGACCAAGCTTTTTTCCCCCCGCGAGTGGAATTCTCCGTGAGATCGGGAGACGATGCGCTCACGATCGAGGATCGAAGACGGCGCGTAACCGTCTGACAGCTGAGTACGCGGTGCTAGATGTCGCGAGCGACGCGAAACAGAACCCCGTCTGGGTTAGGTCTGGGTTAGGTGTAGGTTACGTTAGGTGGCTCGCGGTTCCCCTTCGTTCCTCGCACCGCTACGATCGCCCACGACGGCTCGTAAACTAGGCGTCTGTGTACGTACCGACGCGTACGCGTACGCGTACGCCCCGTATCAGCTCGCATACCGACACACACGCGAGCCCTTCTCGTTTCCACGCACCTGTTCCGTTGTTGTCGTTCCGCCGTGGCGTGCTTGCACGCGACAGCTCGTGCCACTTACTTCCAGTTACTCGTCGGGAGCCGAGCTGCCCTCTCTGCGTCGCGTCGTCGATCACCTTCGGCGGCTTCGAGGACGTTGCAGCCGTTGTTATTGTTTCCATCGAACGGTCCGCGGTGAGAACAGGGACAGAGGAGATCGAACAAATTCGATCGACGAACTCTACGGATGGGCCGGACTTCTTTTTCCCCGAACGATCGAACGCGAGATAGAACGATCGTTTCTCAGGACGCTACGAGGCAAAGTCGCCCGCGAGTGCTCCGGTAAACTCGCGCTCGAGCACGCGAGGTCGCAGCCTTCCCTCTCTTTCCCTTTCTCCTTTTACGCGTCTCTTTGTCTTTCGACTTCCTCGGTTTCCCGTATCCCTTTCCCAATCACGCTCCCTCTGTTTGTCTCTGCTTTCATACTTCGACTCTTGTTTACTCCTTTGGTCGTTTCCATTCGTACATGTATTTCTCGATACAATTCGAAGCCTTCGGAATGTTTGGGAACGCAAGGAACAATGTCGGTCTTAGAAGCAAGTTAATATTCTTGATGTTTCGAAAGGTTCAAAAATACGTGGATATCGGTTGGTGACAGATCTGGTGAGTATGGGGGATGCGGAAGAACCTCGTATTTCCATCGATGCAATTTTTGTAGGGTCCGAGTATTATCATGAAGTATTAATACGCCATGTCTATTAGTCACTGTATTTTTTGTATTTCTCTACAGTATCTTTCCACATTGTTTCGCCTGCTTTAAGATAAGGTAGCGTATACATCAGTGCATAGACCATCCAATTTTCATCGTATTTTTTATTATGGATAAATTTATGTATATACATATCTTGATGACCCATTTAGATCGACCTTATCGATTTAAGGAACCTTGTTCCAAGACACGTCATAAAGCAACTATTTCTCTCTTTCTATCACTATTTCTCTCACTGGCTCGTGCCATACAAAACCGTGTTTACGTGAAGATGATTGCGCATACGGTCGAGCCGATGCCGGAATCTCGGACTGTGCCACGTTTCGTGAGCGTCGAGGATCGTCGTGAAAAAAGCGAGGTAAATAAAACGATCACTCTTGTCAAGGAGCACGCTCTTCCACTCGACCCTCGTGCCGCCACGAGGCACAAGCGCCATTCTTCAGCGCCTATTTCATAGGTAAGAGGAATCTACAAAGAAATATAAAAGACGAGGGGTTTGTGAATATGTGGATAATTATTATTATTACTATTGTTAATTGCAAATTGCCTTCGTCTCTATAAAATGTGTATACACAAAGAACAGCACGGCTTTATTATGGATCGGTAACTTCAAACTTTGCTTTGTTTTGCAGCTACGTATCTGACTCTTACGTTGATACTATCTATACCCATTTTATGACGGCATTAGATAGAGTTGATTATACAGTACTTATGTTTAAACTGTTTAACATAGGATTACGGAAATATCTTAGATTGGATAGACTGGTAACTTTGTGGTCGTTTGCATGTTGATCGAGTCAAAGATACCTCGGAATAATTAATGCATCCTCAGGTGCACTGCAAGGTTCTCATTTAGGCTCGTTACTATTCATAATCTTCGTCGATATTATTTCCAAGATAGAATGAAAATTGTAAATTTTCCAACTAACTTTTGTTCAAGAAGTTATGACTCTTGAACTAACCAATAGATCAGGTTATAACTTATTTCGAATATTGTAACATAAACGTCACTATTGAAATTGTAAGTAAATATTCACAATTGAATTTCCCAATGACATAACATAGGTACATTGTCGCAAGGTTGATAGATGTCATGGGCAGTATCAGTTAGAAGTTTTGTTTATTTAGAACAAAGTAATATGTCCGTGAAGAGGTTTAAGCACGTAATGCGAGACTCGCTCGCAGTCGTTCTATCCCGGTCGCTCTCTCGGTATCCATTTTTTTTGTCAGATGGTACGCGCGAGACAAGGCCTCGGCACGAGATAAAAATCGCTACCTACCCCGTTTTCAAGCGAACTATACCAGTGTCAAATCTAAAAGAGCTCGAAGGGAGAAGGTTAAACAATGGCAACGCAATTAAAGAATCCCGAACCTAGAAATTGTAAATAGCAACAGAAACACTAAAATGTTGATAATTGCACAGCATTCACAGGTGTACGATCAACCGTACCAGCGAGTATAATGGCTAAATAAATATGAATTTATTTTGTGACAAAGGACCCTCGTCCAGGATTGAAACGGTAATGCCTTATTTTGCGTTTTCGAGATCTTCAGGTGGTCGAGTCCTTAGTCTTATTTTATTTCCTCTATTCTCTTCTCCGTCTCGGATGCTGCGAGCCTAATGGACGAGACGAGTTCCGTTTATCTCCGATTCAGCAGTCGAGGATAAAACCTCGGACGGTTCGGTGTTCGTAGAAGAATGCAGCCGGCAATGTGACGAGGAGCAGGAGGTCAGTCGGACTGCTGAGACTTTTTGGTTCCGCTGACCGACCGGCGGAGACTTCACGGCGCCGTCGCACGGTGTATTTTAGCAATCCAGCTTTACCAAATTAATCCTTATGCCAATAACCGGGCACCCCCTTCCATATTTTTTTTCACGAATTTTCACGTTCACATAATAATTACGGTTCTATTTTTCCTCGAATATCGCAACAACCAAACACAAAAGTGGTAAATTCCTCGATGCAGCTGGAGCAATAACGACGGAACAAGACATTTATTTTTCGTTATTTATTCTTCGTCGAATAAATTGTAAATTAATTAATAATTAGTTTTTTGTTCCTATCCCTTGCTAATGCACGATTCTGTGGATTACGTCATCCGGACATTATACAGGTCCCTTTTAGTTAAAGGTTGACGCATTTCTAGAAATAAATATTTTATTAACACGTTTGCCACCATGCGTCACGTAGATACTTAAGTGTGACGCACCGATTCTCGTGAGAAACCAACGTCACATATGCGTAACGACGGCGATTTTCTATTTTATGTCCACATAAACTAACGAAGTATAAACTATAGAGTTAGAATACTCATTTAACCTATTTAATATATATTGTTTCTTGCAACAAATTTAAATTTAAAAGCTTTTATATACATATATAAAAAGAAAAATTGTTTAACCTAATAAAATTGTATCGACTAAATTCGATCTACACCCAACGAAAGTTATGGCCTATCATGGTTGTTGGGAATGCTTGGAACGTCTTGTACTTCTCGAAAAGGTCTTTCATCGTATATCGACGATTCTTGTTCGTTCTTTCGTACTAAAATCAATTTTCGTAAATGGTTCGTTACAATCCGACCGGGATTGCGGAAAATTTCGCTCGACTTTCTAGGCTCGGTGCTCGTAGGTTTGGCCGCATTTTTTCCCGTCGTGTCGCGCGAGATTCTATGCAAATCCTGCTCCACGAATCGCCCCCGGATGGCTACTCGATCCGGAGAATCCTTGACGCGAGCGCGTGAAAGCGAACAGGACACGAACGCGAACGCTGAAAATCAGAGTTGGCCAACAATTAATAGCATTATTCACTTGACCATTTATTAACTCGACTCGACCTAAGCGAAAATTGCTATACCGAGGAAACCTGGAGAACCCCGAAGCATTAAGTATAGTTTGCGTAGGGTTCAAATGGACGTGGAGCGAGGGTCAAAGGATTAAACCGAGTTCGAAGAGAAGTCAACGCTGTTATTAAAGATCATTAGAGCTATTGCACATTCTAGTTTCACGTTCTTTGTTACCGTATGCAGTTTTGTGAAACGCTGAGTTTTTTTCCCGAGGAGACGGTTGAGGATAGAATTATTTTTCAAAAGGATAAAAAAGGTAAATGAGAGAGTGTCTTCATCGATGATTGATGAGTTGATCGTGTCTAATGATCACATTCGCTTTGATTACTCGTGTCATTCATTAATCACGATTACCGATTACTCAATAATCATAATCATTAACAGAGTCGGTCTGAGGTTGGTGCAAGCGATGCAAATGCACTTAGCGTCGCGTTTATCCGTTATACTGGGTGTCCAAAGTGTTTCAGATGATATATTAAGAGGCTGTAACTCTTTTGGGGGCGGTTTTAAATAATATATATTAATAATATAATTAACATAGATTTTTGTTTTTTTTTTTAATTTGAAGGGAACGAAAAAGTACATTATTAAGCTACAAATATGTTAATTGATGGTATACGATGTAGACATATATCGTTAATATTATAAATCGTCTTATTTTATTAAATGTTTAATATACATATACATACGTATACGCGTATTATCTAGTCCACAAAATCAAACGTTTGTAAGCATTTCTTAACGTAGCATTTGTGTAATAAACACCGATAACCTTATAACTTCATTTACTAGTTCCATTCATGGAAACACTTTGCGATCGGACTGATTCTTAGAAATGTTCAAAAGGCAGTAAAAAATCACCTAAAAATGCTACAGTTTCAAAGTTACGATTTTACTTATACAGCTCACTCGTGTTTCTGTAAACAAATGGTTGAAATCTCTTCTATTTAAATGCTTATAAATCGAACACGATAAAAGATAGTTGCTTGTTGGAAATATTGCAGAAAAAACGTTTGAGTTTATAATTATTTGCAGTACTGTACATTTTGCCCTAACGTTGCATGAAAATCTCGGCGACCAGCCGGATACGCGGCGCGGAAACGCGAGCGAGAGAACTAGATCAGTGTTTCTCAACCTTTTCTTATCCGTGGTCCCTTTCTAAGTTTCATTCATCCCTCTGACCTTCATCTCTCCTAACTACTGATCGTTATTAAAAACAATAGTATATTAACTGTTCATTTATGACACGTAATACGAGTAATTACGAATTTCTAATGATCGATAGAGAATTCGACTAACACCAAATTAAGTTGAATGGGAAGTGGAATATCCGTCGAAACATTGCCTCTTTCGAGAAGCGCGAATTTCTTTCCCCGGTTTAAATATTCTCACAAACTAAATAGTTTATACTTTTTGCCGGGCCATAAGGAGCAACGAAACAAAATTTCATCTGGATTGGACAAAAATGGTAGGAGCTACAGGGAAATCACAAACACACAGACGTTGAATATTATATTAATAATTTTGGTATTATTTTTTGTGGTCCACCCAGTCGTGGCTTTCTCACTTTTTAGTATTTTTTACGCATGGTCCCCAATAAATCAGTGACCCATTGAGGAAGGGTCATACGGCCCCCGTTGAGAATCCCTGAGCTAGACAATGGCCGAGGGAAAATTCCGTGCATCGCGGCCACGAGTGCACGCGGATCGATAGCTCGATTGCAACACCGAACGCGGCTCTATCGATCCATGCCACCGTCCAGTCGTTTGCTTATCCTTCGACGACCCGCGAAAATCGCCGACTCCGTCGAGAATCTCTCCGGTCTCGATCGTTCCAATTCGATTTATCGCCAGGCAGACGCGCCGCGTTAAAAACTCTCTCCTAAATAAGCACGAGACTCTTGGATGTTACGTAACCTCGACGCTACGCAATATCGCGAATAGCGATGGGCATTCGAGATTCTTACCCGTGAATTTTTCAGCGAGTCTAAGACTATTTAACGGTGATTAAACAAATTTTTTTTTTCGTTGAATTGCCGCTTGAAAGGACAAATTTCTGTGTCCCGAATTCCTGTATATTTTATTCTACAAAAACGAATGAAAATTAATGTTTCTAGCGACATCTAGAGAAAGCAGGTAACACTAAAAATCGTCCACCTGTATGATTCGGGGACTCCCTGAACCGGAAAATGTATTGCCAGTTATTTTTCTCGCGAGTAATCATTTTCTCATGAATAATTCGTATTCTCTAACTAGATATTGTATAATGCTTGATTTAATTCAGAGTATCTTCGTTGCTGAGGTAAATAACGCTGTGTTGGCTTATGAACTTGATATAGGTTATCATAGCAAAGTATTGATCGTGCTGACAATTATCGAGTGTTAATCATATATTACGATATTGTTTCAACACTCGTTATTTTGTACAATATGGAAAATATATGAAAATTTCCATCTTCTTTTCCTATTTTTTTTTTAAACATCTTGAACTAAGAATAATTGATAAAAAAAATCGTATGTTGTTGAAAACAAAACGTAGAAAAGATAAATTATTTTACATTCTGATTAAATCAATGAAATTATTTGTTTTTAAATTGCAAATAGGGAATAGTTGATCGAGGTTCGAAAAAGATTACGAATCTGCATAAGACTTGCAGTATAAGTGATTTACATATTTACATCCTACAAAAATGAACTCTTATCTAGTGCCTGTTAATATTATCTTTGATTAGCATAATGCGGCGTAGCGCAAAGGAGATCTCCCCAATTGATTGGGAATATGTTAAGCACGCGGCACCGTTTAGATCTATGATGGCGAACTAATGGCACGATAAGATTTTTTTATTTACTTATTCACTTTGAAAACCAATTTTTTTTCTCAACTTATAATAAGGCAAAAAACGTTAAATTGGTCATAGATTGATAAAAAAAAAAAAGGAAACTACCGAGAAGAGACTAATTATACAAACGTAGAAGATGAAGGTGGCCTCTATTAATATTGTATACATTAGCACGCATTGTTGCTGGAGAATGCATATTCTTTATTTATAACAGCCCATCGGAATGCTTCTGAGAAACGAGCAGGCGAAGGATATTACAAGAGTTAGCCAATCAATTAATTGAAAAACAAATCGATGACAGAAACTTGAGTAGCGTGAATTGTAAAATCAGGTTGAAAATGTTGCAGAAGTTGCGATAATAGAACGAATTGTTGATATATAAATTAATATATTTTGAGAAGATTAAGAAGAAAAATGTGTAACGTTCGAAACTTTCTTGTTATTTAACAGCCACTATTTCTGTATTTTATATCTAACCTAACCTAACCTAACCTTTCTTGTTACCTACGCTAACATTAAACATGGTAAATTCCAAGACGGATGGCCCCACGCGTAGTTTCAGACAAAACCTGTTACAGTACTCGCAGTATTAAAGTATCCGACACCTGTTGCCGGGCATGCTGTGTATAAACAAATAGATGAATACTATATAAACAATAGTTGAGTTTACAGCGACGAGCAAAGTTGAAAACATTGTACGAACGTTTCCAAATGCGCTCGCTTACCTCAGAAACATAACATTGCATTGCAAACAATAAAATGGGTATATGAAAGTTAACTTGATCCGTTATACGTCGAGGTCAGTTAATGTTTGTTTACGCTTGTAACATCTTGCTAGATCATAAATCAATCGCACTCGGTTCTGCACCGCTCTCTAACTTACAAAGGGAGAAGGGGGGATACGAGTGTGGAAATTGCTTTTGGAACTATACTAGGTATAAGTTGCAGCACACATCTAGCGTTACACAACTATAATAGATCTTCGTAGAAGGGACCTTCGTCGTTCCCATTATTTAAAGTCTCGTATGCGGCTGGTAGATTATAATTTTTATCATAGATAAAAGCTTGAATACTTGATAAACTGTCTATTGATTTCAAGATCGTCGGTGAAACAGTTTTGTGCAAGTACCGGGCTAAAGCGACGACCTAAACAGAAAAACCGTTCCAGTATCAGAAGTTCCCGTATATTGTATAATTTTGATATAAAACTTTTTTTTTTTGGAACGTATACTTTGGAAGCAACCCGACGAGTCACGGGACGACGTGCCCCGTATTATTTTATTCCTCCGAGAATGGCTCGAACTCGAGTCGAAACGTCGAAATAGAATAGCTCGATTTGTTTGCGACAAGCCTGAATAAAGAGTCTATTTGCGTAGGGAAAAACAGCGTGGAGTAAGCCGGTCTCTCTGTTGGATTTGCGCCAGCCCCGAAGCGTTCGATCGCGTCTCGGGGAAGCGATCTCGCGAAGGACTCGAAACCGCGAGCGTCGCGACGAACCTGCGGAAGGACGCGGGCAACAGAAAACCGATCGTCGACGAACGGGACGCGTAGGTCGCTCGTTAGTCGGTCGAACGTTGCGGCGTCAGCCGAGACACGCCTCGTAACTGCGTCGTTCTTGGAACGACCGCAAGAGCCGGCTGTTATGGATTTTCGAAGAAAGATTCCGCGTCGGAGCGCCCGTGACTCGTGAAAATATACGGAGATTTAGCGCAAATATACTCACGGACGGAAGGTTACGACAATAATCGGTCGCGAACGGTCGATCGTGCTGCGTTCGCGGCGCACAACAACCGAGAACCGCACGGTTCCCGATCTCTGCGCGCTCCTTTCTTCGCGTTCAGTTTGTTGTTGCGACTCGGGGGTTATTGCGCGTCGCTGAACGTCCGCTGGACCAGTAACGTAGCTAGGGGAGGAGTGGTGGGGGGGATGGTCCGCCCGGGGCAGCACCTTTTCGAGGGCGGCAACGTTTGCTCCACCGCGACGAAAAGAGTTTTACGCGGCCCACCAGTGGCTTCGAGGATCTATCCCTCGCACCCATGCGTCCCTTCGAGTGCCATTTTCCCGTCGGCCATCTTTGCAGGCGCACGTAACAACGAGCCACTCCGACGCAAGGTTTGGTCTTTGACATAAAGTTGCACAAGTTTGCAAACAAGTCGGAAACGAAATTTTGGCTGAAACTTTGGTATTGCCCGTAACGATACAACAGAACGTGGCGACTGACGGACACTGTTGTCTTCTTTTTTTTCCAGTAAACCGTCGGTGGCGAAGGGGAAGATGGAGTCGACGCGAGTCTCTTCGACGCCGTTGGCCCTAGCTCTGGCCCTGGCGTTCCTTTCGTCGGTCGGTCGTTGCGACGCCTCGGAGAGCATAATAGGTGAGTTCGGAGCGTCCATAAGAGCGTCGTGCGCTACGACTTTCGAAAAGGAGCGCGCGCGCAGCCGAGCGAGCGATTACCCCTCGAGGCGCTCGTAGTCGTCGAGTTCGCGAATTCAGGAACGATCCGGTCGCGATCGAAAGTCAATCGCGCTCGCGTTCTCGCGAGAACCGCGAGCGAGGCGCGTCACGCTCTATTTACGAGTTTTAAACGCTCTATTCTTAGTCTATCTCCATTATCTGCCGGTCTATTTGCGCCTAGTCAGGTCGGATCTCGACTCGATGACTCGAGAGAGCAAGTCCGTCGATGTATCGCGTGGTGCGCAGGGGATATACGTTTCCCTTTGTTTTCGCGCCACTCTTCTCTCTTTCTCTTTCTCCCTTCGCCTCGCATGGGGTGAAAATCTCTGTCGCGACGCGCGATTTCCGACGCCTAACGTTTGAAAATATTCCGTCGAGACGGTCGCCGCAGACTACCCCGCTTTTGTCACTTGAAAGCGGGCATTGCCGTACTGTGGGCATTCCAAGTATTCCTGACGACGTTAAAAGGCTATGATTGGTTTTAGGGTTGGCTTTACAACAACAACAAAAACAGTAATTCAACGGGTAAATAAATAAAAATGAATTATTTATTACTAGCGATTGCTACGGCATTTCGATAAGTAGAATTCAATTGGACACAGGTCTTGTTGAAAGAAGAATCGAACAACGCAATCGGGAAAAAGCGTTCTCTCGAGTTTCTCGCGACATTTCGCTAACGTTCTTCACTTTCGCGTGTTTTGCGAAACGATATTCGAGGCCAGGAGAGGGAAAGACAGAGAGAAAGAAACGAGGGAGAGAAAGATGGGGGAAGAGAGTATGAGAGAGAGAAAGAGAGAGAGTGTGAACGTGAAGAAACCGGCCGCGAACGCCAACGCCAACACCGCGTCCTTTCTCGCACGCATTCCTGCGCACTTGAAAGAAAAAAAAAAAAGACACGTCAAGCATGTCCGATGGGATTCGTGAAAAGTTCACGCGAAACTTTTCGAATTCTTCGAGGTTCCCGCGTAACTTTCGATCCGCCACCGTGGAACGCCACGTTTTCGTGGAAATGATAGGAGCATCGTCGTTTTCGAATCGTTCTAAAATCTTTGGTAACAAAATCGTGCGAACATCGCAATCACCGATAACGATGGTACATTCGGTGGCAGTGACTCGTGCCGCCCGAAGGGCATGTACAGAGTTGCAACTAACCGGGACAAAATGGCCGCCGGTGGTGTAGGAGACTAAGGGAGTGGGGAAACACTGCGCGTCACACTGCCACGTGACTTCATGACGCAATTAACCGCATCAGACGACTCGACTTAAATATTTAAACAATGTAATTTGTTTATTCAAATATGTGTATCGAATAGCGATACTTGTTCGCAATAAAATTTATATCAATACAGATATTTGAATAAATTTTATTACAAACAGGTGGCATCGTTCGAATATTTCTGTCAAGTCTTCTGACGCAGTTAATAATGTCACGGGAGTCACGTGGCAAGTCATTCACTTTCCTACTTTTCTATGTCATCACCGGCCATTTTGTCCCGGCAGCAGCCCCTCGCGCGGTACAGATTCGTGTCACTCGGTGTACCAAGAGAACGGTGCACATTGGGCCTGAATTAATTCCTAACGTGCCAAAAATCTTTGATGTCGTTACAACCTACACCTTGGACAATAATCAATAAGTAATTTTTAACATTTTTCTCCACGCAAGACACGGTAAACTCAGCCCTGGATAGCTAGATAACAATACTGTTCTTTTCATTATACGTAACTACAATATTTTGAATTAAAAAAAAATCGCTCGTCGAATATTTTTCAAGGTGTAGCTACCGCTGAAATCGGTCGATCATTTTTGGCGCGCTACGATTTGAATTCTGTACCGCCACGTGACGAGAAGGGAAGCGGGCGGTGGGGAGGGGCGGTTGATGGCGAGAGAAAGGGAGACGAGGAACGGCATGGAAAACCGTGGTGCGCCAGGCTGGAAAGCGTGTAGGAGTCGAAAATTTAGCGGGTAACCGAGCGTACCCGGGTAGCTCGGAGTTGGTGGTCCGCGATGGTAGCTAAAAGTGCGCACGTTTTAAAGAAAGTTGCTTAAAGTGTGCAGGAATACGTGCGCGAGGGAACCGAGAGGGACGTTGACGGTGGCTTCGCCGACCTAGCAGCGGAGATCATTATCGATGGATTGCGTCTGGGAATAGGGCTGGCCGAACCATCGATCTCCCCCGTAGATTATTGCCGTTCGGTGCGCGCGCACGACTCGCGCGGCAGGCCTGATCGAGTACGAGCGCAGGTCCCGAAAACGGGGAACCTCTCACGTAAGTAACACCAGCGCACGCATCCGCATCAGTCTCCGCGTCCGCGTCCGCTTCCGATCGACGCGACGCGCAGTGGCCCAGAATTGGGGATGAGATTGTTCGAAATAATTCAAAGCCTTCGCCGAGTCAAAAAACAAAACCGTCCAAAAATCTCATTTTCTAACGACACTGTACCAATATTACACTTTTCGAATATTACTATTTGAATACTAAGACACTTCTATTCGAATACAGTGGTATCTCTGTAACTCGAAATATTTAAGCCCATTTTCCTTCGTAAATTTCTAGACGATTCACCAAATACACTCCGAGCGAGCGTCCAGCAGCGTAGCGTCTGCGATTCGTTTCTATAGATAGTTTTATTTATCGAATCTAATAAATACTTTACACCGTACGGATCAATAAGTAATACAATTGTACGACCATTCTGCAATTCCTGATTAGAACTCGAATCGAAGGCCGTAAACGTCGACGTGCATTTTAAACGTTTTATAGCTAGATTTTTTTTTTAATTGGCCACTGTGCGTCGTTCCTGATCCGCGGTACCGGTGTTGGGCGGGACGATGTCGCGCGAATTTATCGCGACTTGAAATCGATATCTCGCAACCGCGAGACGCACCGACCCGTCAATCCGTTCGCGCGACATTGCTCGGATTCTGTTCCCGCTGTGATTAGCGTTGTGGGTTTTGATTGCAGGTAGTCGCGAAACTTGCGACGTCGAGGGAGAAGACTTTACCGTCGACAAGATCCCGAACACCAAGTGCTTCAACTGCATATGCAAGGTAAATTCGCCAAGGTATTTATTTATTTATTTAACGACTTTACTGCATTTCACGGAATACAAACAAAATTTCAATCGTAATTCGACTTTAAATTTGAAAAAACGCAAGATCGTATAATCGAAAGTTAAATCAATAAAATAATTACCAAATCCTTCGTCGCAACTAATTTTCTTCCGATATAATATATCGAATGTTCCAACGCAACTAGAGTAGAGTAGAAACGATATAATACTAATTTTGTAGGTTACAGTTCCGTTTTGTTAAAATGTTTCGTAGACCGACGAAACCCAGGTGGTCATGTACTGATCGATATAGAGACAGATTAGATCGCTATCTTCTGTCAGTTTCTTGAGTAACCAGATGCATGAATTATCGGAGGAAGTTCCACTAGACGTTGTACGTCGCATGTGATTTATGCATAACTGTGCACCGTCCAATTTCAGCCGAGTACCCAGACGGTTCTTGAACGAACGACTTTCTAACAGATGGATCGGTTCTGCAGGTCCTATTGCCTGACCTCTTCATTCCCCAGATCTATATCCGCTGGATGTTTATTTCTGGGTCCACTGAAAAACATTTCTTCGTTCAACCCCGATTCCTAACACAAAACAATCGAAAATTTTTATTCATTACTAAATAAATAAACGATGATCTTGTCTCGTTTCTTAATGACTCCTGCTAAGAATAATATATTAAAATATACAAGAATATATTTAGTACTTTCCGTTGCTTTTCCTTGTGTGCTATTAAAGTGCACAGAATAAACCACTTCACTGGAGATTGTAAACCAGGGGGCACCATAAAAAATGTTTCCAACTGTGTCCTGTGGTGTTTAACGTCGTCGCCATTGTTTGCGCGAAATGTGCGATCGTTGAAGCGTTAGGATACACCCTGTATAATATATTTATCTAAGAACGTCCAACGATCGCGCAAGAGGCTCGCGTCGCTAAACGTCCCGAGACACATACTCGCCGATATATGTATTCTCGTTCGAAGAGTCGCTCGAAAGGTCGTCTCGCTTCGCGATTCGGCCGCGCTATCTAGACCTGTGGGGCGGAAAAATCTTCCGAGTATCGTCCAAAGCGATGATGCTCCCGCGAGCGCGATGTTAGCAGGACAGTCGGCTAGCCCCGACAATTATCTGGCCGTTTGGTTCGTCGACTCGCGGAGAGATTCTCGTTTTCTCTGGTCTGGCGTGCCACGGCGACTCGAGAAGCGAATCCTGCCAGCTGCGAGCGACACAATTATTCGCCGGTTCGAGGGGAGATCAAAAATGATCGATTACGCTGACGTCGCACGGAACGGTCGTAAATCCTCCGATCGTTCGATCCGCAGTTGTTGTTCGAATAACTTTGAATAAATCTTCGGCCAGATAACGATACGGATAGAAACATTTTTATACGTTTCTACTTATCCCGGGTAATCGTTATTCGCTATCCGTGGCGTTAGAAGTTTTATCTGGAGAAAAACGCGTCTTCGTGACTCACGAATAAAATACTCGTCGTATAGGTATTCGGAGAACATTTTCATTGAGCAACTCGAACCCGCCATTTATAACGCCGATAATCCTCTCTTACTGGTCGTACGGTTATATGGCTTACATAACGTATATATATTTTACGTCGGGTAGTAATTTTGCTTGTTAATATTTTTTTTAAATGCGAAAACGTTCACGAGGTCGTCCTCATTGACGAGTTTCTACGAGCGATGTAAACATAACCCGACTAACAGACGTGCCGATACCGCTTAAATAGCTTGATACTTCTTTGCACGATGATTCCGTTTACGAAAAACGTGCGCCATCTTTGTGCGACCACTGCCGCTCGATCTCCTGTCCGCGCTGTTATTCGTGCATCGGATAGTTTACGAGTAAATTTGCATTCGTGGATGTATCGGACACCCTGTATAAACCGCCATTGGTTAGTCGGATTGGTTATTCGTTATCTAGATAAAACATGTGACCGACTCTGGTTCGATCCGACCGATCGACCTCGAGGACGTCTCGAGGCTCGTTTTCTTCGTGCCATTCCTTTCGATTTCGCTGGCGGGCATCGCGCGAACGGAAGCCCCCTTTCGCGTTCGCGCACAGACGGACCGTAATCTTTGTTATTTTCGAGAGCCGCGACCTTCTTCGCGTTCGCTACACGACTACCAGTGACCCGTGTTAAATTGCTTTACGCAATTCGGCCGCGAGATAAATCCCAAGGGTTTAATTATAGGACGCGATAACCGAGTGAGAGAAATAATTGCACCGGGAGTGGACGATAGCCGTGTCACGTATACATATAATGCGAGATCGGGACGTCCACCGTCGGGAAACGAATTTCCAAATGGCAGCAAAAACCCGTGTCGTTCTAACCTATTCGCGTATTTTGAATTTTTTAAGTAAAATGTCCCAAGTCGGACAAAAATTTCATTTCTTCTGGAATATATTTTCAGCTTTCTCAAAAAGTCGTATCGTTATCGTATTTGTACTAAATCGTACGCATCGTGTATACAGGAAACGGAAGAAACGTTATTACGGTATTTCTTCGTCAATTAATCATCACTGACATTAACGAGTAATCACGTACGACATTCGTAATCTGCGATCATAAATCAGTAATTTGTAATTATTCAATGAAAGATGATTTTAGCTTTTGCTGCCAGTTTTTTTTTTAGCTTCCTTATTATTCACGTATCGATTCAATCATAATCAGAAGTGTAACCATTTCGTGATTAACGAATAATTTGTTAATGATGTCTAATGAATATACGTACGGTTTGATTAGCCGGGTTGTTCATTAATCACAATTATTGATTACTAAATACTTGTAATCATTAATCACCGGCTTGATTATTTGCAAAAAAATATTATCGGAAATCAATTTTTTTTATGCAAATAAATAATTTAAAATGCGGAGTCGAAATTTTGTTGAAACAATGTTTTTTTTTTTTCATTATTTGTAGGAATTTTATTCAGGAACGCATAGAAGTCATGCTATCTAGATGATTGACTTGATCTTGACCTCAACTATTACGTCACGATGATACAAATATGTAGTTCTACTTAAAAAAATATCGATGACCTTGAAGTCATGAAAAATATAACTTAGAGAAAAATTGTTTGTTTATCATAATATTTATCTCTTCCGAACTAATAATGCTTTTTTTCTAATATTTTTTCCCATCATTCCTATCACACAACGAAACTAACAGAAGTAAACTATTATTCGATTTCTTATTAGTTTTATATTCGTATCTTCTCATTTTTAGACATTAATGACAACATAAGTTTTCGTGCAAATAAATTATACAAATGTTTATTAATTTTATTGTTGCCAAACAGGATGGTCACTGATATCTCGGAAGGACCAGTAAACGAACCTCGAAAAACAAGTTACACGTATTTGCTTCTTTGTTCGTAAAAATGACCTTAAAGTTTGTTAATACTTTGGTCACCTTAAATATCAACCGGTAGCTTCATGAACCTGCAGCTCGCGACTACAGCGTCGTCTTTTATCTGTTGCAGAATGGTTTCGTCGAGTGCAGGAAGCAACAGGAGTGCCCCAGCATCGAAGGTTGCTACACGTTGCTGGAGCCGCGCGAAGACGAATGCTGTCACAGATGCAAAGGTATGAAAATAAGAACGGAAACCCCTCTCAACATCCGAATCGTTCTAACAAAACTAACAGACAGAGCGCCGACAACGTTGTTTTAGAACAATTCGACGCACGTATGAAAAAAATTACGCAAGTAGAAACGATCCTTGTCGTCTGTAATTAGAATGGCGAATACAGATTCGAACGTCCACAGTGTCGTTGAAATTTTCATAACAATATTTCGCTATCTTGTCCCAACTACTATGCGTCGGTGTCCTTGTGACGTGGCTAAACTTCTCGGTGCAAGAAAAATATTGCAGTTTATCGGCGCGTACGAGATTTATTCGGCTGGACTCTCGAGTCACAACCGCCCTGACCCACATGTGGGTCAGCGGACAGTGAACGTGTTTATCGTACGAAAAATTGTTACGTCTATGGCCCCTGTAATTGGTTCGGGCAAAGGACCGACCCGGTTGTTCGCTATGGCGAGGGTCACGAGCGCGCTCCCGAGAAAGAGGAAGAGAGGGAGGAAAAGAGAGGAATGCCCGGCTCGGAGCATTGTTCCCGGGGCACAAAGGCGCTACTGTTCGCCGATACTGCCGATAAACCCAAGGAACTTCGGCATCGGCGCATGCGACTGTTTACAAACCCGGCAGCCGTCGACCGACAGATGCTCCGCTTAACCGCGGCCTCCTTATCTCATTCTCTATTAATTACGTTAACCGTGACGCAAGCCCCGTCCCTGTTCGCGCGACCAGCGACAAAATTCCTCGCTTGGGCGACATTAATCTCGCCTTTGAGCGGCGGACTCTTCCGAATCCGCGCGCGATTACGTCGCCCCCGGTAGTTTTCCGTTCAACGCGGACCGAATAATCGACACGAATCTGTCAACGCCGCTGTCGCGAATCATCCGACGAGAATCCGTCGTGGAATCAAGCACAGTGTCCCCGGATTATAGGAACCACCCCCATACATTTTAACTCTCAGAATCGTCGGTCATCGTAAACTTCGCTATTGTCATCACCATTGTACGCCACGTTGTTATAATTAAAAACAAAAAATGAAATATTAAAGTAATGACGCAAATGTCGCTGAGCGTGTTGACCGCTGGAGCGTAACTACTCTAATGTGAAAGCGAGCACTCATGCATGCGGCAATCAGCAGGTTTCAATTTGTTCGTTCTTGTCACGTCCCACGTGACGTACGACTCGCATGGTAAAATTGCACTGTCGCGTCAGAGGTGACGCACGACCGACGAGGGTTTATATTTAATTATCGTTCGGTGTACAGTTTTAAAAAGAAATATCTATCTCTATTTACACAAACGAACTTGTACTTACCGTTCGAAGGGTGCGTGCGAAACGGAGTGTACCACGAGTCCGAGACCGAGTGGACGGAAGGAGCAGACCCGTGCAGGATCCTCACTTGCAAAGCGGGAGTGATCACCGAGTCCCGACTGCACTGTTACACGCCATGCTCGAAGCCCATTCCGGCTGCTCCCGGTCAATGTTGTCCAGTTTGTGCGGGTAAGTACGATGCTCCGGAGAGATTGTCCTTGAAAGAAATTTAAATTGCGTTAAAGAAATCAACGAACTAAATTGTATCCCAACTTGTACATCGTCAAGGTAGAAATAAATAAGTAGATGTTTCCATTTCTGTTGCGCGATCGATCGTAGCACGATATCCCGTCGAAACGAATCGATTAGAACTCGATGCCATTTTTTTGTTTGCGATCTGCAGGATGCTACGTGAACGGACAAATGGTGACAGCGGACAGATCGGTAACGACGACCGAGGACCCCTGCGTGACTTGCAGGTGCAACGGGGGTCGGCTGATCTGCGCCAAACAGGCTTGTCCCGTGCTGCACTGTCCTTCTACGAGGATCGTTCACGATCCCGGCGAGTGTTGTCCCCGCTGCAGAGGTATCTCGAACGTTTTTCTACTTTCGAACGCGTTTGTTACCTCGCGACCGTTGCCTTTAACCGCAGCAAGGTCGTACGGGCCGACAACATCACGCGTCAAAACAATAATATTACGGTGCGCTCGTAACCTCACAGTACGCAACTCTGACACAGTTTTAAACCGATATTCTTATATTACAAATAACAAAACATTTTTATACGGTCAAGTTGTTTTCGTTAATTCTATAACGTAGAATGAGACCAAAAACCAGCCACTAATTACTGTTGCGAAATTTTAAGAAACATTTAACGCGCGATGTTTCATCCAGAATAATTATAGTGCTCGGTAGTCAAAAAGATAGTTAAAATTATCCAGCCTGTAGAACTCGTACGACGACCGTAGCTTTACATTAATTTTCGTGTTTTCCTCTCTTTTTCTTTCGCGATTGCGCCTACAGGCAGCGGAAGATACTTGTCACCGCCAAAGGGCGCGTGCATGCTGGGAACGATGATCTACAATTCTGGCAAACAGTTTTACGCCGACCAGTGCACGCGCTGCAGCTGTTCAAATTCGGCCGTGTCGTGCGTCAGAGAAACGTGTCCAGTCCACGACTGCCCCAGCGAGCACCAGACCGTTCTTCCGGGTCGTTGTTGTCCCCAGTGTCCTGAGGTCGAGGAAATTCGACCGTCGTGCACGTACGCCGGGAAAACTTACGGGGCGAGTATTTATAATAATAATATATTAGTTCCCGTGCTTAAGGAGCGAAATCGGAACTACTAAATCGCTCGGAAGCGAGGTAGGTAGCTATTCTTGTCTTGCGCGACACGCGAATGGGATAAACCGAGAATGACGGAGACGAATCATGCGCTCGTTGTCCTAAACTTGAAACCTCATCCGTGTCAACCGCTAATCCAATATACAATTTTATATATTTCTAATTATATCTTTATAGTAGAATTACCGAGTTTCTCCCTATTTTGGATTATACGTCAGTAAAATTTTTTCCGAAATCATTACGATATCATATAATTCAAAATGGTCCGATTCAGGTCGCGTTTGGATTCGTTGTAATCGTAAAGACCACGCTAATACATTGGTAATACTGTCGTAAAGTTATGACAATTATTAAAATCGCTAGAAACCTCGATTTCGACTGGTTTTCTTGGTTTAAAGGTTCTGTTTTGTCCTAGGCAGGATGGCGAAACTTGGAAGCTTGATTCCTGCAAGGCATGCGCTTGCACACAGGGCAAAGTGCGGTGCGCGATGCCGATGTGCCCGCCATTGAATCTACCCTGCCCACCGAACTCGAGGCTGGAACACCCGGAGGGCCAGTGCTGTCCACGTTGCGTCGAAAGTAATGTCGTTCGATCGTAATGTAACCGTTTGCGTTCGCGCAGCCATCAGCCGCCGACAAATTTCCGACACGATCTTTCGCGTTGTGCAGGCGACGGCGTGTGCACGGTCTTCGGGGATCCGCACTATCGCACGTTCGACGGAAAGTTTTACAGCTTCAAGGGTGCGTGCAAGTATCAGTTGGCCAGTGATTGCTCGGGCCACACGTTCAGCATTCGGGTGACCAACGACGCCAAGTCGACGAGATTCTCCGCGTGGACCAAGACAATTGCTATAAAGGTGGGTGCAACGAGAGAATCGAAAGTTCTAGGAGACAGAATTAGGGTTAAACTTGAGTTATCGCGTCTAAAAAACATACGTATACCCAATTTGTTGCCGTTTTATGAAATTTCATGGTAAAGCATCGCTAACCTTTCCGTGATAATTCGTTTGAGTCGTTATAAAATAACAGTGCTTTGTCAATACGTAACGTTTAAAATCGATTATCGATTCAGGAGTGAAATTATTGTTTGCTGAATAGGTATCGTATTAGTCCTGATACAAGTAAGAAATATTTTGCGATATCAAAAGTTATATTTATTGTTTGATATCATCTATGCGAAGTATTTAGACAGTGAATCATATGTTTCGAATGTATAATTGGGACCATGGTCAACGTGTATGCTAGGACGAGTCACCGGATGTTTGATATTCAAATGCTACCAACGCAGAATTAATTAAAAAATTTCATTCCCCGAGAACCTTGGGCACTCCGCGTTACTCATTTCGAGTGAACAAATAGAAGTTTAATCAGGTTGATAACCTATTTTAAACTCCGACTGTCATTCACAGAGTATAATCATTTCCTAGCGACTAATGCGATTCGTCGTAAATAGGTTAGTCCGGGTCACACGAACCCCATTATAAAAATGTATTGTTTCTAATGTATGAAACTTAGCGACGAATGTAGCTGGACATTGTACGATAAGGCGTTCAAGTCGTGCCATCTTGATTCTGTATACTACATCATAGTAGCGCCAACTAGCGGTTAAACGCCAGGTGTCGTCCTAGTGCCCAGTTGATAAAATTTACTGTGGTACCACGGTGAGCTATGATCATAACACAGTAGCTGTATGTGGCCTGTGCCCATAACACAGGCTAATAATAGTATGCCACTGTTTTCCATTGTGCATGACGGAAAAAGGCGGCCCATCTGGCCACACTGGACCGGGTGTACGAGCTCTGTATGTTTGGTGGCCGTAGGTAGGCGACTTGAAGGTGAATCTCGGTCAGAGGATGCGAGTGAAGGTGAATGGAAAGAAGGTGGAGGTGCCGTACAAGGTGGCGAATCGATTGGAGGTGAATCGGACGGTGGACAGTATCGTCGTAAGCACGCAAATCGGAATCAAGGTTCTGTGGGACGGGATAAGCTTCCTCGAAGTATCGGCGCCGACAACGTACAGGGGTAGACTTTGCGGTCTGTGCGGGAACTTCAATTCCCTACCGAAGGATGACTTTACTAACAGGCGGGGCAGGCTGCTGCAGGATCCTCAACCGTTCGGCCAATCCTGGGCGGTAGGAGCCAAGAGGAGTTGCGTCAGGCCAAAGCCTGCGACCAACGTGGGCAGAGAAAGACGTTGCAGAGGACGGAAGGATCATCGGTGAGCAACGTGCACATCATCGTATCGATGTGAACCAAAAGTCCTTTATCATTTTACAATCTGAGACTTTCTGTTTCGTATTGTGCTTGATTGTTATATTTCTTTCCTTATTCGATCCCGATGCGCAGGTTATGCAACCGGCTGAGGTCGCAGATCTTCGACGCGTGCCACAAGAAGGTCAACCCGACCATGTATTACAAGGCTTGCCTGCAGGACATGTGCGAGTGCCCCAGCGAGAACTGCTACTGCGAATCGTTCACCGCGTACGCGCACGAGTGCAAGAGGCTGGGCATTCAGCTGCCGCACTGGCGAAAATCGTCCAGGTGTCGAACCGGTTGGGACCAGTCCTTGGGAACGGCGGCGCTAGGCCCCCGTTTCTCCTGATCAGTTCGAGTTTCGAAGCAGCCGACGAGGATCGCGACCGATTCTCGTTCGTTCGTCCAATCGCGTCGACGCGCCCGTTCACGGACAAACTCGCCTCGACGTCGAAGCGTTCCTCGGTGCCGCGGAACCGTATCTCTGCCTCCTTTCCTCGAGAGACGATTAACCGTCTCGATCGATTCGAGTCTTGAATCCAGGACTCCAGTGTCTGGTAACCAGTCGAGAGTTTCACTCTCGGATCTTGGTATCGAGAACAAGGTCTACGTCGGTCGAGCGTTTTCGGGTTGCAGATGGGGGTCAGGGACAAGATGGGTAAATGATCGTAATTCTTCTGTTCGAGAGAAACGCTCGATTGACATGGTCGTATGAGCTCTTTCACGTAGGCATGGAAGAGCTACTGCCTATCTATCGGAAAGATCCTTTATTCCTAGAGAATTTACATAGGCGTTGGGCCTAGCAAGTGTTGCGTCTCTATCTCTTAGGGTAATGTCTAACGATTGTTAAACTCTGGGTGTCAAGTCGAAGATCTGTATGGTTTGTTTTCCAACGATCCATCCAATGCTAAGACGAAGGCAGCAAAACGCCCAAGAAAAGGATCGTCCGACGTGGCCTTAAGAGTCTTTTCACATTAGCAAACGAAAGAGTCTTCAGCTGGACGTTGCCCTCCCCCGTGTGTATGCATGGAAGAACCCTCACGACAAAAAAGAATACACTCGATAGCGACTCTTGTGAGCTAAACTCTTGAGTAGATACAAGGCATAAGAACCGACGAGTGAAAGAAACGACTTGGGAGTCCCGCCACTTGCCCTGTCGGGGAGGACTCCATCACCTAGGGCCATGTCAAGCGATCACTTTAAAGACTGTTAGTGGGCCCCGTACGGACGAGGCTCCTGAACTCTGAATCTCAAACAGGAGTTGGACAACGGTGAGAAAACGAATCATCGTGAGTCTCCATTTGAGACCCATAGTTTATGACTCTTACTGTTCTCTTAGTGCGACAACGTCTGACGAATGTAGCGATGGAACTGAGAGAGTGGAAGCTCTCGTTCCTGGGAACGTCTTCCCCAAACCAAGTCGATTCTTTCACCTGCCGGGAGTCTAGCTAAATCGTAGAACTGACAAGCAACCTTCTTCGCCTATCTATTCTTTCCCTTCCCATCACACACTCACATATTCTTCTCCTCTCTCTCTCTCTCTCTCTCTCTCTCTCTCTCTCTCTCTCTCTCTCTCTCTCTCTCTCTCTTTCTATCTATCTTTCTCTCTCTGTTGCGTCCCTCTTTCGCTCCCGGAGAACGAACCGTACGCGAGGGACTGCTCGACGAAAATCTACTAGTCACCGTTTCTACCGTGAACGCGCACGCCGACCGAGAGTTTCCGCGCGTTCGCGAATCGCGAACTCTGTTATTCGGGCGAACGGAAATATCGTCGCGAACGTCGCATTTCTCCGCGCGATCCTCTTCGACGCTCGAATGGTTCCGGAGCACCGTGCAGTATTTCGGCCGATGAGCAGGCTCGCGGCATAGCATCTACGTCCCAGAGTATACGCGCTCGCTTCGAACGCGCATCGATCGACCTTTCCTCCTAGGTTTAAGCGAACCCACTCTTCAGCACGTTCTTCTACGCGTGTAAATAGATATAATATACGTACGGGATGTTCCATCTAAAACAGGCCGCCTAGTTGCAACCTGGCCCTATTATATGAAATAATTTGTTGAACTTTGTTTCCATTACGATTCGCTATTGCAAACTACAATTTGTGTATTTGACATTGTATCTTCGTGAGAGAATTATCAATAGATGGGCGAAGTTTTCCCGGTGAAAATCAATCCATACAGGATCTCGTTTAGACTATTTTTAATTATACATTATTTGTGTCAATTTTGTAGAATTGGAAATAGTAGGACCAAGGTCGAACTTGGATCAATTTTTTATCAGAAGAACTAAAACCTTTGCGAACATATACAGAAATCATTCTTGTACAGTGAATATGATGCAACACACTTTTATATTTAATGCTCTTTTAATGCAAATAAGTACTTACATTTAAAATAAGTTTCATATTTGATTTTCAATATTTATATATTAGGTAATTTTAAAGTCATAGTATTGCTCATGTTTGCATATTTATACAGAGAATACACAGATATACTCATGAAGAAAATGAATAACTTTGAAAACTTAAAAAAAAAGTATTGCAGAAAACAATGTGCTCTTGAAAGCTACAGAAAATAATTGGTTAGCCTATTTTAGTTGGAATCACCTATACATAAGCAGAGTATCCCTTATTTCGTGGTACATTCGAAACAGGGGGTGTTAATTCGGCTTTTCGCAGAGGAATTTATTGAAAACGAGGCTTAACTTGTATTCACATGTAGTTTTGCAAACTGGAAGAAAGTATACGTTTCTAAGACCAGACCTAACCTCGATTTTTCTGACCGTACCACGAGTCACAGGGTGCCCTTTGTATGTATCATGAAATCGTGAACGACGCTTTTGCTTTAATCTTGACGAGACGTCGCCTAATGTATATACATATATAGACAGACGGGACTCGCCAAAGCGCGCGCCTAACCAAGCAACGCGACGTCTTTTTATTCACGATTATTTTCCCTGTTCTTTCGTTTTTAAGATGCGCGCGCATCAAATCCGCGTTCTTTGTTTCACCTGTTTCTCGTGATTCTTTTCTATTCTTACCCTTGATCTACGTTTCCTCTGTTCTTGCTATTTTATCTTATCTATTAAAACTGTACATAGCTCGGCTCGAGTATAGACACGTGCGCGCGCGTACACGTACGCATCTATGTATTTTACGCGTATGCACGTATGTGTATGTATATCGATATAACCATCAACGTTTCGCGAGGGAATCGCAAATATACCGGATAGTCCAAAGCCTTAGCCAATTTTTATCGACTATAATATAGAGGTACTCTGGTACAGACCGAATACGAGCGAAATAAATGACTTATATTCGTAAGAAACTTTGTGTATTCATCGAAGCTTTCGCGGGAGAAAGAAAATGCACTTACCAATGGAGTCGATGACTTCTTCCTATTCCTTTCAACCAACTGCTTAATGGCGCTTCCAGTGTACGAACTTTTTCTCCCCAGGCAGAAAGGAAACCATGCGTCATCTAGGAGGTGAAACACGAAATATTTTACGATCGTTTGATACGACATTCAACGAAACATGTAACTCTAAACACGCCTTTATCTTTCGACACGGAAATTCGCGCGACAAATGCTTGTTCAGACTTGAGCATTAATCGACCAATTTTTCTACAACGTATTAATGCATTACAAGATACGATTAAACGATCAATCGTCTTGACGATGAAATTAATCGTAAATTTCTCTAGACTGCAGATCAGGAGTCAGAAATTTTGATTCGTGACTATCATTTTAATGGGATTTAGCCCATTTCCGATTGGAAAGTACAGAAAACAGTTTGAAATTTCTAGGCTATTCTTAACGGTCAGATCGTTGTCGGTTAACTTTGTAATAGAAACGAGACGACGAAAATGTGTTACATTTTGATGTTTACTTACCCTAACTCTTGACACAATCACCATAACTGCAGTCTCCAAAGACAGTATCGGTTCGAAATTCGTCCAAATCACGATTATATGTACGAAATATTTGTCGCGCGCCCCGGTGCTCGAACTTTCGCCGACGCTTTCAATATGGCGACGCTTCGTTGACCGACTACAACCACCAGAGGGCCACAAGTCACGATCGACCGCTATTCCTCGAAAGATATCGATCAGCATTAAAGTTCAGTATACAAAACATAATCGATGTCTTTTCTGACAGAGTGTTTAGTGCGGGAACAGACTTTAACGTATTCCTTTTCTTTTCTCGTATTACCAGTTATTAAATTCAGAATTGCTACAGGATTGACAAATACTACAGCCAACTAGCGGCTACACCATCGAATTACCAAGACTCCAGAAAACATGTGGGTATGTAATGACAATTTCTATCAATTCTATAAATTTGAATTTGTAATAGCAACAAGAATATATCTTCTCCAACGAGACCGAGACCACAGACGAGGTATATGAATAGACCTTTCACCTAATGTAATTTTTCGGCCCGAGTTTCTGGGGTCCCGGGACCCCATTACCATTTTCGTGTCACTCGCAACGTTATCAACAGATTCAGAAATTAACACAAGAGGAAGTGAGACCACAGACGAGATATATGAATAGACCTTTCACCTTATGGACTTTCGCGGCCGAATCTGACTGCCATACCGACCTGAAAATTCGGAGGTGATTTTAGCGGCCTCTTCTCATGGATAACGGTCAGTTGAGAAACTCACTGAATTAGTGTGGTAGGCAGCAGCTAGTGCGTGTAAATGCATACCAATTGAAAAGTACGAATTATTCGCGATTCCTTGACTAGTTAAAGTTGTAAATAATTTACTAAAAATCAGTCTATCCGCGGTTTCTATCCGAAGTATCCCTTGGGTTCATAAACAAGCTTCGCGAGACATCGGAGCTTCTCCCACCCCGCCGCCTAATTCGCGAGCGTTGCCGAGCACAGCGGACGGCCATCATTCATACTTTGAAAATAAACATAACAAGACGTGTCGAGACGTATCGGCGTTTCGCGACCGAGGTGCGTATTTCTAACCTGTTTATCCTTCCACTATTACTACTCGCGTATTACTACTTACGATCTCTTGCAATACGGTTTCGATTTAATCATTACTTAATTGTAATAATCGTTTGCGTACTTTAATGCATCGTTATTTCGTTTCTGTTACAGTCTTTTATTGGAACTCGAAATTAAGAAATAATAAGACTTGTTGGAACCTGCCAAGACGTGTCAGCGTTTCGCGACCAACGAGGTACATACGAGTTTCTATCCTTCTAATATTTCTTTATTATTATCAATTATTGTTTAATTATGATTTAATTTGTATTTCATTTCTGTTACAGTCTCGGATTGAAAATCGACGCCATGGAAAGTTTCATTGGCGCGTAAACGACACCATAACAGATGGCAGACGAGTCGACAAATTTTGGAGGGAATATTGGTAACGTTTAAACAATTACAACAAAAATTAACACCCATATTAATATTTATATATTTTTATATCATTATTAAATCATTCGTTGCAAGCATGATCTTAATTTTGTAATCGGTCATTGTTAAGATAAAATATTAAAATCGTTAACAAACTTTTTATCTACTTCGATACATATCGAAGTATATAGAAATGGCGTCGGTAGATATTAACGATAAATTGGAATAGTTTATATTAGACTGTATTCTGATCGCGATTAAATATCTCCGACTGTTATTTATTTAATTGGTCCTTTATATTTCTTTATGAATTGTTGTAATTGCAATTTGCATACATATTTCGATACAAGTTTTAGAAAACGTAGTAACTGCGGAGTTGGAATATGCTATTCAAGCATAAATAACTAGCGAACTTTAATTCTTGCAAATTTCGGAATATTTATAAAAATTACGGGATATTCTAACGTTCGAGAAAGTAAACATAATCATGCTTACAACACTAACTATGAAATTTAGTGATATAATATTTATAAATTGAATAATTACTTGTACGTAATTATTTTCGTAGATAATATTTTATCGTTGAAATTATGTATTATGCAGTAGTATTAAGTAAAGCAGTATTTCTGTTGACGAACTCTTATAAGAAAATGAAAAAAGAAAACCAGTAGGATAAGCACAGGTGTGCTTGTTGTGTTTCTTGTCTCCTGTCCCTTTCTTTTCAGCTCTTTTCTTTCCAGGAAATTTGTTGGCCGCGCGCAATGCGGCCGGTAGATTCAGTGATTGTACGTAGCAACATGTTTGTTTCTCGGGGCAAAGTGACCCCAAGCACATTACCGTTCACGGTGTTAGGCAAACGCGAGAATAGAAGCAGTGTTTCTTACGCAGTATTAAATTATTTCCAGAGCATCGTGGCTCTCCTTGTTCTCTGAATCGCGATAATAGAGTCATTTGTTCGCCGATTTCAATCTTCGGTCGCGGTAATCTA